TGTTGATAATTTAATGTTTGGTTTTTCATATGGTTTCCGTATTCATTTTAAAGGGGCTGAACGATCATTTGAAGCCCGCAATTTGCGATCGGCTTTGGACAATCCTAAGGGAGTTGATTCAAAATTAAACAAGGAATTAGAGGCAGGTCGGCTTGCTGGTCCCTTTATTTCGCCGCCACTTAAGTATTTTCGTGTGTCACCATTAGGCCTGGTTCCTAAAAAACAACCAGGCGATTTTCGCATGATTCATCATTTGTCCTTTCCGAACGGTACATCAGTCAATGATGGTATACCGGACATTGAAACGTCGGTTCGGTATGTCACTGTTGACGATGCCATTCGACTTATAAAACAAGCTGGTCCGGGTTGTTTTTTGGCCAAAACTGACATCAAAAATGCGTTTCGAATTATACCTATCAATCCGGCAGATTACCATCTTTTAGGCATAAAATGGCGCGAATTTTATTACTACGACCGTGCTATGCCCATGGGCTGCTCGAGCTCATGTCGCACTTTTGAAACCTTCAGTACGGCGGTTGAATGGATTGCTCGGGAAAAGCTGCTTATCGACAAACTACTTCATTTACTCGATGATTTTCTGATTATATCATCTACTTATTTTGTATGTAAAGCACATTTAGATTTATTTATTATTCTCTGCGATTTTCTGGGCATTCCCATTGCACCAGACAAAACATTTGGCCCATCGACCACTCTCACATTCGCTGGTATTGAGTTGGATTCACTTAACTGGGAAGCTCCCTTGCCTAAAGACAAAATTGAAAAGTGCGTCCAATGCATTGCCAGCTTTTTGACTCGTAAAAAGGTTACTCTAAAAGAACTTCAGTCCTTAATTGGCTTACTTAATTTTGCATGTTCGGTTGTTACTCCAGGTCGCGCCTTTTTAAGACGATTAATCGATTTAACGCGCGGAATTTCACAGCCGCATTTTTTCATCCGGCTAAATCGTAATGTAAAAGGCGATCTTCGCATTTGGCAGACTTTTTTATCTTCTTTTAACGGAAGATCTTTATTCTTGGATGATACCTGGAGTAACAACCATAAACTTAATTTATATACGGATGCATCTGGTGCCATTGGTTTTGGCGCCTTATTCGGACGTGAATGGTGCTATGGGAAATGGCCGGAAAATTGGTTGAAATATAGTATTGCCGTGCTAGAATTTTATCCCATCGTACTCAGCTTATGTTTGTGGGGTCATAGAATGAGAAATCAATGTGTTCTCTTTTTTACGGATAATGAATCTCTGGTTTCTGTTATCAATACGCAAACATCAAAAGATTCTGACCTTATGACCTTTGTTCGCACAATGGTGCTCGTTTGTCTGCAAAACAATATTTTATTTAAAGCAAAACATATCGCCGGTAGTCGCAATGTCCTGGCTGACAGTTTATCTCGATTTCAGGTCCAAAAATTTCTACAATTGGCACCGGCGCATACGCATCGTTTTCCAACGCCCATTCCCTCTCACCTGCTGCCTGGAAATTGGCCAATATAGTTTCTGATTTGGCTCAGTCCAGTCTTCAACCGTCGTCCATACCAACATATAAACGGGCTTGGACACTTTTCACGCAATTCCATATAAAAATTTTTAATAACGGCTTAATAGCTTTACCTATATCACCTTCAGTCATCGCATTATTTATCGCTTACTTGTTTGATCTCAAGTATGCGCCATCCACAGTAAATACATACGTGTCTGCGATTGGTTATTCTCATAGATTGTCAGGTTTTCCTGATCCTACGAGAGTTTTTTTACATCGTTCAAATGCTTAAGGGGTATGGTAAAACAGGCTTCCGCTTAGATAGTCGGTTGCCAATAACACTGTCAATTCTCAACCGCATTATAGAGGCGTCGCCTCACATTGCTGGCTCTCAGTACCAGATTTGTCAATTTAAAGCTATGTGCTCTTTGGCATTTTTTGCTTTTCTGCGGATTGGAGAACTTACTATGACAACATCAAATAACCAACCCCTTCAAATGCATCAACTCTCACATATATATGATACGAATAACCAGATCACAGGCATAAAGTTAACCTTTGAAAATTTTAAACATAATTACAACCAACGGCCTTTTAGTCTGGAAATTTATCGTCAGTCTATGATCTGCCCAGTGCAGTTATTAAGTGATTATCTGGTTTTGCGTGGGAGTCGGCCTGGTGCTATTTTTATTTCACACCTCGGTAATCCAGTATCGCGTGACACATTTGCTACTCAACTTCAGAGGGCTTTCCGGCATTGTGGTCTGGACACTTCAAAATACAAATCTCATTCATTTAGAATTGGCGCCGCTTCACATACAGCTGAGAACGGATATTCTGATGCGCAAATTCGTGCGTTAGGTCGTTGGAAATCGAACGCATTTTTAAAATACTTGCGCGTTTCTACTTTGGCGACTTAAGCTGGGTACGATTCTAACATCCGGGGATAAATCGCGTGGGGGGATTTGTCCTCGGAATGTTGTATTCTCTGGGTCATCTAACACTTACATCTTAATTTGAGCATGATCAGCACGGGCGATCATGCTATTTTCTTAGATGAGTGCTTTTGGGGTCGGGTTTTTGCACAGAGCACAATTTCTCTTGTTCACTCAAGCAATCTACGTCATTGGCAAGGGCGGTGGCGTTTATTCTATATGTAATTATGTATTTGTGTTTTGTGCAATTATCCGATCTTTTTGTTATTTGATCCTCGACTAGTATGATTGAACTTGCCTGTTTAGTAGGGACAAACGCGGCATTCAATTTGCTAATCTGCCGACTAGCGCGACAATACTATATCCTTCTCACTGAACATTAAGCGGTGCAGTGGCATTAATTCATTTTATTTTATATATTCAGCACGTTGATTTATTACTTCCCGCAGCCTGCATGGGCGGCTGCGTTTACAAATTTTCCTAATCAAAATTGCTTGCTGCCTATGTAGCACATATGGTATTTCAGTTCGGTTTTCGAGGCGAGGATGCAATGGCCAGCAAGGGCGGCTGTTCGCATTGTCACAACCGTTCATTACTGTGATTATTAGTGCACGCATTCAGTCTCCTTGGGGTGGGGTTCATCTCGGTTTCACCTCGATGATTTGGCGATAATTTAGCTCCACCCTTTTCTTGGCATGAAACATTAGTATTTTCAAACACTTATGTATTAATAAATATTGTTTTATTTACTGAAATGAATCGGCTAGGAGGATGGTTACTCCTAGCCAAATTATCCAAAACATTACTATTTTCAAACATATACGTATTAATAAATATTGTTTTGTTTACTTAAATAAATCGGCTAGGAGGATTGTTACTCCTAGCCAAATTATCCCAAAAGTGTGCTATCTTTAAAGTGTGCTATCTTTAATATTTGTCGAATGCCAAGAAAACAAAGCTTCGGAGAATGAATGCGTGCACATGCGGTTGCTACAGGGGCAGTCGGTAATTTATAATACATAATCACATTACATAAATGAATTATAGAAAAACAATGAATAAAGGACAAAAGCAAAAAATACTAGAGAATAAAAGAATAAAATATGAAGCAATGGATCACTCAAACAAAGGGGAACTGCTTACTAAAAATATGAATTATAAAGGAACAATGAGTAAAGAACAAAAGCAAAAAATACTGGAGAATAAAAGAGTAAAATATGAAGCAATGGATCTATCAAGGAAAGAGAAATTGCTTACTAAAAATATGAATTATAGAAAAACAATGAGCAAAGAACAAAAGCGAAGAACACTGGAGAATAACAAAGATAAATACGAAGCAATGGATCAATCAAAGAAAGAGGAACTGCTTACTAAAAATATGAATTATAAGGAAACAATGAGTAAAGAACAAAAGCAAAAAATACTAGAGAATAAAAGAATAAAATATGAAGCAATGGATCATTCAAAGAAAGAGGAACTGCTTACTAAAAATATAAATTATAGAAAAACAATGAGCAAAGAACAAAAGCGAAAAACACTGGAGAATAACAAAGATAAATACGAAGCAATGGATCAATCAAAGAAAGAGGAACTGCGTACTAAAAATATGAATTATAAGGAAACAATGGGAGAAGAACAAAAACAGAAACTATTAGAGAACAAGAGAGTCAAATATCAAGCAATGGATATATCAAAGAAAAAGAGTTGAGTGCTATGAATTCAAGCAAAATCATGTTAAATCGCATGTCATTGGATCCAAAACAAAAAAATGATTTGCTGAACAGAGAGAAAGAAAAACGGATGGAGAAAAAATCTCTAACTCATGACATTGACATGTGCATTCAAAAATTTAAAAAACAAATTAAATCTGGCCCATTTTACATATGCTGTGTGTGTAACCGGACACTATACAAAAAGTCAGTAGTAATCCTACAGAAAAATAAATATCCTCGGCAGCATTGTTTTATGCTTCATTGTTCTTTTGATGGCAAAAACTACATCTGCAAAACATGCCATAAATAATTTATTTGTTGATGAAACCTCTACTGAACTTGCTGCATTAGAGAAACTTGAACAAATGCTTGTTGCCCAGAGAATAGTTTTTGAAAAAATTGTAATATTGCCCAAAGGACAACAAAGAAAAATTAAAGGTGCGATATGTAATGTACCAGTTGAATGTAGTCAAACATGCAATGTTCTTCCCAGACCACCTGACAGATCTGGGATAATTTTACTTAAATTAAAAAGGAAACTTCTATTCAGAGGTTATATTTACTTTAAGCAGTTCGCCCTCAGTTTGTAATTAGTGCATTAAACTGGCTCATAGCAAACAATCCCTTATATGGAAACATTGAAGTTCAATGTGACAACATCAGCACAGAGTTGACTAATTTGAACTGTCTTGTTACAGATCAAGAAAGTGTAGACGCGCATTTGCAAACTAATATAAATAGAGAACTTCTTAATGAAGATGCTGAAGAACAAGATCCATTAAATGAACACCGTTCAGCTGCAACTGAAACCTGTCTTCAGTCCATCTTGCCAAATTATCCTGTAAACGTGGACAATAGAAACTGTGATAATTCAACAGGTAGATAAATTTTCAACATTGCACCAGGTGAAGGCAAACACCCAGTATCATTGATGACTGATTACCCTGGAACCAGAGGGTATTTATTTTCGCCTGTTTTGAATAACCCTCTGGTGAAATTGGCCTAGTTTTTGGGTTCACATTCCACGCATAACTTTCAAAAATGGAAGCAAAGAGTTGATTGGCTGCTGACTATAGGTTCGATAGACTACGTGTTCTGATTGGATATTGTAAACATCATAGCCTGTTCGCAGGCGTTTCGTGTTTTGATTGAATTGAAACATTTGAATTTTGAAATGTCTATATTATTAAATAAACGAACAAAAGTCGAAAGAAGCAGTTTTATAGGCTGCATTAATAGATAGATTGATAAATTTCCTGAATTAAAAGTTTAACGGAGCATCAATACCGCGCCTTGTCCAATTTGATTCACATTAAAGATGTATTTGCATCTTGCTATCGGCTATGGGAAGAGTTTAATATTCCAAAGTTCTAACACCGAGAGTAGCATGACGACTTGGCAAAAGCCACAATTTTCTGGAGAAACCCATCTTAATAGTCATTTGCAAATTGAACTCTTTCATTGACTCTCACGTCCGTGAACTAAGAAAGCGTGGATGCCGTGTTACTTCACTGTCAAACGAAGAGGACGAGAAAGCAATACTATATGGAGAGATTACATTCGCATTTTGTAATCCCGAGTTTATTATTCGAAATGCGAAATGGAGAGGAATGGTTTCATTTGAAATCTACAAGACAAATTTGCTTGCTTTTGTATTAACAGACAAAGTTCACGTCGGCCCAAAGAGGTGTGTTTAATAAATTTATAAAATACAGATTTTTTTGAATGTATATTGCAGGATTAATAAATTGAATGTATTGCAAGATTAAAGTGAATGAATATAAATATATATTTATATTAAATTGAATAATAGATGTGATGTTTTAAATTGAATGAAATTCAGGAGATCTAGAATGAATATTGCTACAAATGGGCAGGCATACACTGGACAGTAAACATGCGATAAAACCCTGTCTAGACGGCCTGGCGTCAAGGATAATGATTGGATAATATTTTTAGAATATGATGCATTAAGCCATTATACATTTTTTGCATTCTTTATCCTAACCAGGAATCGCTAACAAATTCACCAGAGGTTTTTCCTTTTTCTTCGCGCGTTTTCTCGCATTTCGCGTTCGGCAAACCTACAAAAACCTCTGGGCCAGGGTAATGACTGATAAGCTTTGTGAGGAACTTTCATTTCCAGTACTCTTTCCAAAAGGACGATTTGGGTACACCGTTGAACGAGACATTAAATTATCTCCGATAAAATATTTCAATGCTCGCCTCTTGCATTATAGTGGGAAATTTGCAACCAATCCAGAGTATCTATTCTTTGCACAATTCATTATGGAACAGAAAAAGATCTCTGATAGTATAAATATAGCTCTTAAAAAAATACATGGGCAGTCAGTCACAGCATCAGAAGTGAAATCAAACAGTCAAGCTTTTCAAAATCTTCTTTTGCAAGATCAAGCATATTTGTTTTTACGACAAATTCCTGGCTCACCTCCTTACTGGCAAAAAATTCATGTAAGAAGTGGTAGCAATGGTTAAACAACTGGGAATACCAACATGGTTTATGACGCTTTCATGTGCAGACTTAAGATGGCCTGAGCTATTTCAGATAATTGCAAAAACAAAAGGAAACAACATGACAGATGAAGAAGTGGACGCTCTGTCCTATCATGAGCGATGCTCAATGTTAAATTTAAATCCAGTTATTGTAGCTAAACATTTCCAGTATCGAGTCGAAACATTTTTCAGGGACGTTTTGCTCACAAATGCAAACCCAGTTGGCAAAATAGTATATTATGCACTCCGTATTGAATTTCAAATGAGAGGTTCACCACATTTGCATGCGTTAATATGGACATCTGATTGCCCACACTTAACGGGATGATACAAAAGATGTAATTTGTAATGCCTAATTAGTAATGCATGCCTAATGGCGCAATATGCCAATAAGGATAAAAATACCACCGTTCGATTCAGCGTAAGAAATTCTACTTACGGATGTCAAATTATACTAAACAACATATTCTAGCGATTTATAGCTTTTGTCTTAAAAGCCAAGCGAAATTGTGTTGACTAAATATTCTAACGATTTATGGCTTTTGAAAATCAAGGGAAATTGTATTGTTGACAAATCGCTCGCAGTATGTATTGTTGACAAATCACTCGCAGTACGTTTGTGCTTGTATTTGTAAACGCCTAATGCCGCAATAAGTATAAAAATACCACCGTTAGATTCAGCGTAAGAAATTGTACTTACGGATGTCAAATTATTACTAAACAACATATTCTAGCGATTTATGGCCTTTGTCTTTGAAAGCCAAGCGAAATTGCATTGTTGACAAATCGCTCAAAATTATTATTAAACTAGTAATTACTACCGTAAGTGAAGTGCTGCCTTAAAGCTGGAAATAAACGTTTAAAGATGCGGTACAGTCCGTATGTAAACAAAGGCTTTGTTTACATGTCAGTATCCAAAATATTGAATTTTATTCGACAACTCTTTATATTTCATGATTCTATAGTATAATAAATGATCAAGACACAACAATTAAGCTTTGCAAGACCATAAAATGAAATAAAAACCTAAATAAACTGTTTGTATAATAAAAAGAGGGCTCCTTTGTGCACATGCGCAGATCGGACTGCACCGCATCTTTAAATAGTTGGGAATAAATTGCGATTTTAAAAATTCAAAAACAACAGCAGTACCATAGGGTCAGACATACGAAAAGAATTTCTGGCATGAGGATCAAATAAATAGAAAAAGGAATTTATATCATGCATTAAGGCCATCATCATTCTCGTACCCAGAGCCCTTCTTACGCGCGGTCAACGGAGCACGACGAGGGGCTCTGGCCAAATCCATATCAAACTGGCTTCTGATTGGCCACAACGAAATATATGGTTTATTATAGTAAATATGAATAAAAATACACAAGCGCT